AGAAGACTTCATATTGTTGTTGAATTCTCAAAAGAAACAATACACCAATAATAACATCAATATGAATCTATGATTTAATTTCTTATTCATCTGAGAAATTTATATGCCAAGGACAAGTCCATTACAAAATCTCACATCACCAAGCCAATTTTTTGGCTTGTCTTAACATCTGTTATGACCAAAGGCATCCTCAATACAGCAAGAAACTTTCATGCTAGAAGATTTTATGCTTTTCCCCATTTTTTTTCATTTTGAAGCAGCATGACATAGTACCCTCTGCTCTGCCATGAAGATGTCCCGGTACATACTTACATGTACTTCCCTTACCTGATTCCTTTTGTCATAAGAACCAAGCGTACCGAGTGGGCAAATGGAGAGAACCGCATGCTAAATAGCCATGGGACACCATCTCTCAAATCAGGCAGAGGGTCACCTACATAAAGCAAGAGCCATTTGAATAAAAAATTGACAAATTCTAACCTGTAACCTCAGAAATATGGTTCAAATGAGAGTAACAGCCGTTATCTAAATTACTTTGCTCAAGACATGAAACTCTCAAATAATCTCAAAAATCTCATTTCAATCTTGCCCATGGATGCAAGAAAATTAAACTTTCAAAGAGCGACACTTAATGTAGATGTTACCATATATATATAGCCTATAACATAATGATGTTAAGCTTTGTTTACATATGGGCTTTCCTATGGTAATGAGATGGGACACCATAGGGAAATGTACATGTAAACAAAGCATGACGTGATTATGTGAGTTTACTAGGAGATAGCCCCACTAGTGTGGCACGGATCACTCCTGATTTATAGTGATCTGTGCCACACTAGTGGGGCTAACTAGGAGAAAACATTTTTCATTAGTACTGTGGAATACTTTGTCGTCAGTGTAAGAACCCAACCTTACATTGCCTTCTTCAAATGTTTTTAGTAAATTTCTCTTTAAGCACAGTGACCTATTTTTCATGAGATTCAAATACTTATGGTATTTATACTATCATATTATTTCGGAAAAGCACTTTTTCCCAGCATGCAGTCAGAAAGGGAAGTTTTCCTCATGTCCAATGTTCAACCACTAAAAACCAACATGACATTAATTTCCTTCCGAAACTTTGATTACAAACGTATGGTTCCATAATTGGAGAGAATTCAATATACTTACACCAATAATGATTCCTTTCAGTTACAAGTACCCACATACACCTATACATGTACATGTATTAACCATCACAAAGCAATAATGTCCTAAAACGTCAAATTTAGCAGTGAAAATAATGAAGTATTTACTTGAAAAACATTAAACTTTTTCAGACAAGTCTCATAGTTTGTGCACAGGATGAAGTGACGTGAACAAATGCTGGCGTAAAGGCACATGCATGTATTACATGCTCGTGAGCAAAAGTCACTGACCAAAATCAAACAAGAGGAAATTGATAAAAATCACCTATTCGGTTGAAAACACCTCAGAATTGAGCCCTTGCTACATGTATGCTACACTCAGTTGCTGCTACTGAGTACTTTAACACACCTACCATGGCTATGATGACTACCTTACTTCTGATACCCGGCTACCCCTAGAAAAAGCAATATGTCCCAACTTATAGCTTTAAGGTAGTCTGAGTACTGTCATATGTTTAAAAATGAGATTTGTACAAATTGTAGGTTCTCAGGCTAGTTCTGGCTGCTTCATGCTCCCCCCATTCAAGAAAACATCATGGTGACGGCTACAAATTTGTATTATGTATAAATGCCAAGACACAAGTGACAGAAGACAGGGTTCCATTTACAGACATGACTTGTTTTCCTCTGCAGTGGTTCATTAGCAATCAGAATAATCAATTAATATGCCTAGAATTGAGAAACAAATTCTTCAGACCAGTCTCATAAGGTTTGGTGTCCGTGTCTGGAACTCTTTCCATGACTATTTGGCCAGCCGGCAAGGCAGGTTTGTGATCCCTTGGGGGACAGACACTCGTCATTTACCATGTTTTCACTGACTTCCTGCAATTTCTGGGGACCCAAAATGTTTGGATGTTATTAGGAGAGAGATAAGGTGCCCAAACTTGGTCCCGGCTTGCTTAACCAAAACCAAATGTCCCTTAAGTGCGGTGGAGGCCTACCCACCAGATTTCAGGTGGGTCTTGGAGACAACTCTTGGTCTTGTAATGTCCGCACAAGCTGCATATGCAATGCTGGGCCTAGTGATCTGGGATGATAAGACAGCAGACATTACCCTCCGTGCCCTCCGACTTTTCTTGGTGCAGATAGTCAAAGAACGTCCCCAAAATTGCATGACTTCCTATGAATAGCCTCCAGGCATAGCAGGTGAAGTCTGCATTAACAATGGTACAGTAGCGCTACGATTTAATATGAGTAGGCCTAACCAGGCTGAAATTTGCACGAAATTTGGGCCGGAATTTCGGCTGGCCTGATTTTCGTCTGGACGCTATTTTTACGGTTTCAAGCAAAGATTGTATAGCGCCGCAGCGCTATACAATGTTTGGTTGCAAGCGCTGAGCAACCGGACCCTTCACACGTACGTACGTAACCGGTATACGGTAACCGGCTAGAAATTATACGGAGGCCAATTACGGCATAGCAACGAGAGCCCATAAACGTCCACAAACAAACCACAGAAAAAAAGCAATGTTTAAATCAATCCTTCGCTGGAATCTTAGCTATGAAACAACGTGAACAACTGAGCTTTCTTTTCACCAACAGGAAACACAGACGGAATGTGTATAAAAAACCACTGAGCCTTCATGCAAAATGGATGAGGGCGCTAGTACACTGAGACAACTTGAATGATGGACCCCGAGATCTAGATAATGCCTTCGCGAACAGATTCGCAATTTGTATACTGTCAATTCTCTTCTAAATTAAGGAAGTTGGAGGCACATAAACTCGGTGATTTCTAAAGAAGCATGGAATTTAATGGCAGAAATATAAAAAAGTGCCGGAAACTATTTAGAAAGTGTGAAACACGAAAACGCAAAAATTGAAATTGCTCTATAATATTGATTTCAGGAGTCAACGCACCCGATTAGGAACAAAGACGGGGAAAATCGGTTTCTGGGCTTATGTCCGTTTTCGAACGATTTTGTACCATCCTAGATTTTAAAAATGTGTAATTCTCTCTTAACGAACGTGTAAAGGGGGACCCCTGGGCTCACTTAATTAGCGCCCCGAATGATTCGGCCCACAGGCTGTCTCAGCCCAATTTTCAGGAGTCAACGCACCCGATTAGGAACAAAGACGGGGAAAATCGTTTTCTTGGGCCTAACGACGACGACTGATCATCTTTCCAGACTGAACTGAATTTGTAGCTAGCTCTACGTCATGCGCCCACTTAAGTTCTAGTTCTGCTATCTTCGGCTTTAGCTAGCTGGGAAAGCTGAAAAGAAGGGGCGCCCTCAACGTGTGTCTGTGGCATGGCCCTTCACAAACAAGTTTTAGACAAGCCTAAATTAACAAAATAATAACTGATTAAAAAAAATGAAAAATTTGAAAAGGAAACACGCTCCTTCCATGGCAGTTTGAGACACACATCAAATGAAACCTTTGGGGGGGGGGGGTAGTGTACCATGGGAGCAGTTTCTGTACTGTTGGGGTGGGGCCAGTAGACCCTTGCTCTCGTCTAGGCTCGATGTGCTCGTGTGCTCCCCAGAAAGAATAAAACCTGGCAAAAGTCCACCTTGGCCAGTTCCCACCCCCCTCGCAAATTATCCTTGCCATTGTCACGCTGGGGGGATTGGTGGTATTAAACCAAGGCAAGGCTGAATGCAGCAGAATAGACCAGCCAAAGGTAATTATTCCTGAAAACAGACCTGAGCCATTATTTTCGTCAAGATGATGCCAGCACGAGAACCAAATTTCATCCAGTTTTTCATTGGAATTAACTAATGGTGCCAAGCAGAAAATTTGATGACATGGAAATCATGATTTGGTAAACTTTTCATCTTCACTAACTTTCCTGGCCTCGTTGAAGACTGTGCAAGCTCGACTAAGTTCATGTACATGTACCACTGCAACGGAGGCCAGGACAAAAGGCAAGATGAAAGGATCACACTGCAGAAGCTGATGACCAACTGCATTTTTCTCACAATGAGCTCCTTTCAAATTTAATGCAAACAGTACCGAGTTCAACTTCAAAGATACGGCGGCAACACCATTCAAGTACTTCTAGAATAACCTCCAATATATTTGAAAAATAGTACTCTAAAAAGTCTAAAAATAGAGTTTATTAGATAGATTTTTGCTTGTGAATGTGAATTCAATAAATCCAGATAAGATTACAAAATCTTCATATTACAAATTCATAACCTGAAGAAACAAATAACCCAGGGATAATAGGAACATAAAAATTAATAATCTATGGGTAACTATACATTAAATTGTTAACTGTAAACTCTACTGTACTGTATAGCATGAAAGTCTTGCATAAACTAACTTAGCAAAAAAGAAACAAACTAATCTAAGCTAGCCAGAATTAATACAAGTATGCTGTTTTTACATCCCAGTCGTGTTTTCCTACAGTGGCTGCTAAAACTTTGGCTGACGGTCAGTACAAAAAGTAACCTCATTTCAAATTAATGAGACAATTAAATGTGCATTTTGAACAAATTTGAGGTAAAATCGAAAACCAATGAAAGGATGATTTTTTTCCCACCCCTTGCTACCCATGCATATTGTAGGCAAAATAACAGTGGTCTGTTTAACACGCTTATTTGAGTGCATGCCAATCCAAAATTAAAACAGACACAGAAAAAAATTAACACTGGAAAAGTTACCAAGATTAAATAACATAAAAATGCAAATGATGAAGAAGAAAGAAGAAACTTTCAAAAAAAAATAATAATAATAATAGAAATACAACTTTGTAAAGCGCACATATCCACCCAATGAAAAGCACTAGATACAGAGAAACATAACAACACATACTAAATATGCAGAAAAAAATGCAAATACCGAACATATACTAGAATTAGTCTTACATAAACAAAAAAGATTTAATGAAACAATAATTTAATGCCTGAGCCATGAGATGGGTTTTCAGGGATGTCTTGAATGAATGGAGTCAGAACTTCGAATATGTAATGGTAGTTGGTTCCATAGGCGAGCAGCTGCTACTGAAAATGATTTATCCCCCCCCCATGAGTTATGTGACTTGGGTTCTGAAAGTAGATATTTGTGACATGATTGAAGCATGTGAGATTGTTTGTAAGGTGAGAGGAGATCCGTGATGTAAGAAGGGGCTTTGCTATTAAGAGCCTTATAGACAATTAATAAAAGCTGGTAGATTATCCTGTACAAGACTGGTAACCAGTGAAGATCTTTCAGAATGGGCGTGATGTGAGCAGACTTTCTGGTTAATGTGAAGAGACGTGCAGCTGTGTTCTGGGTACGCTGGAGTCAATTCAGCTGTTCCCATGGAAGGCCAAAGAGGCGTGAATTTCCCATGTAAAGGCGGGATGTGACAAGAATGGATGATTTGTTCAGTGGAGTTGCGGGTAAGATACTTTCTAATCCTTCCAATATTGCGAATATGGAATGAAGCTGAGCAAACAGTTTGAGAAATGTGACTTTTGAATGACGTGGGAATCAAAGATGACGCCAAGATTACGAGTCTGAGTGACTGGACAGATATTAGAATCTTCTATGGAAATAGAAGGAATGTTGACTTTTGTTAGGTGTTGTGGGGATCCAATGATCATAAATTTTGTCTTGTCATCATTAAGTTTCAGGAAGTTGTTCCGCATCCATTGATGAATATTGGACACACAGGACTCCATTCTTCTGAGTTCAATAACCGCCACCTGTTGAGGAGGTTTGAAGGTTAAATACAGTTGAGTGTCATCAGCATACATGTGGTACTGTAGATTATGACATGAGATTACATGTTTCAGAGGATATGTGTAAAGAGTGAAAAGCTGAGGGCCTAGAACAGAGCCCTGGGGAACAGAAAACTCAAGATGGACAGGGTTAGATGTGGCATTGCCTACACATACATATTGTGGTCTGAGCTCCAGGTAATAGCTAAACCACTGAAGAGCCTGACCTCTCACACCAACGATGTCATGCAGTCTGGAAAGAAGTATGGTATGGTCTATTGAAAGCTGCACTCAAGTCAAGGAGGATAACTGCTGTAATGTTTTGTTGATCCAGGGCTTGTAAAATATCATTGTGAACTCACAACAGGGCCGTTTCGGTGCTATGATTTGGCCTATAAGCAGATTGAAATGTATTTAACAGGTTGTGGCAATGCAAGAGAGCTGTCAACCTAGAGGAAACTATACATTCTAATGTTTTGCCAAAAAACTTTAAGTTGGAGATCGGTCTGTAATTTTTCAAAATCTCCTTATCCAAGCTTGCCTTCTTCAAAAGAGGACGAATGTAAGAAACTTTAAGGCATTTGGGAAACACACCTGAGCAAAACAATTTGTTGACAATCTTAGTGACATACGGAACAATAACATCAATACAATCTTTAACAAGTGAGGTAGGTATCAGGTCAAACTCACAAGATTTAACAATTTAGAATAACTAATACAAAAATACAAAAAATAATTCACTTCCAGTCTATTATATTTGAGAAAAATGAGCAGATAAACTAGTACTGAAGTGTTTAAATGAATAAATTAATAGAGAATTACTCATGTACGATGTCAAGCTACTCCAGATTCAAGGAAAAACATGGCGAGGTGTGTTTTTGTGGTGGTGAATTTTAACTCCATAGTGTACTGGCCTTAACTGACTGGAAGTAAACTAAGTTGAATGCAAAGCACTGACGGCAAAGGAAACAGAATCTACAAGCATCAAGGGTCATACAGTGAATGATGATGTTGGATCACTATCATTCATGAGTGCAGACCATGACACAAGATGTAGAAGTGTCTCCATATGTGAGAAAATCGACTCTCTGGTGTTGCATAAATGAATGCAATATTTTGGGTTTGGAGAGTTTCGTTTGCATGGTAACCAAAGCTGACTGGATTTGCTACTCAATAGATTGTGTTATTAATGATAGTCCAAGAGGGTTAGGAATTACTTAATGACCAGTTTACTTAATCAACTGGGTGAGACCTACTGAGTTAATTACCTCTTGCAGATGAGACAAGAACCTTGTTCCTTGAATAAGCAAGCAATATTGTACTAGCTTAGTAGAGTCGCAAACACCTAACCTTTAGCACTTGTAACCTTGCAAATGCAAAAATTACTGGTTTTGTCTTTTTTGTACTGAAAAGAAAATCTGTGCACCATGTGAAACCTCTTGTTTTTAATCCTACAATCAATAATATGACATGATTTAAAATCTACAAAACCAGCTCATGAAGACAAAGACAAAGTTTACAGCTTGGAAACCTTAACAGCATTTTCAAGTGGAAATTCAGTGCTTCTCCAATCAGTTAGAAGTCATACTGAGGATCCCCATGGGCATAGCCCTCATAGAATGTCTTATAGTACTCTCTGTCGTTGAAAGCCTGAATCATTGGTGTGGTTAACATCCGCTGGAAGTAAGCGTCAAGGTCTGGTAGCTTGGCTTTCAGGGTGTTCATGAGCTTGTCAAAGACCATTAAACGCTCATTCCAAGGCCAAGTGACGTAGTCAACCATGCTGGGCTGTTGACCTGTACGTAGTTTAATGCAAAAAAAATCAAAGAACTGACTTGATTTATAATATATTATGAAGGGTTTAATGTTAATTTATTTGGGTGTACAGCTTGGTATCTGCATGCCAAGCCCTACTCCATGAGAATTTCACTGTATATTTTTCTAGCATGCGTGATTATAAATTGTAATTTTTACTTGAGCTTAAAGCTTAAACTTCAGTATGCAAATTTGTATTTAAGTTCACAACGATTACACAAAGAGTTACATTTGATCAAAAGTGAGAAGGGTAATCTTACTGTTTCCACCTGCAAAAGATAATGCATCACTGAGAAGATTTACAATGATGGTTACAAAAACAGCCTTAGAAAATGGAAATAGTACTTGTGTTTTGATGGCAAAACAGCCTTAGGAAATGGAAATAGTACTTGTGTTTTGATTGCAATTTATGGTAATATATGCATCAATATGACCCACATTTTAGTACACAGGGATATAATACATGAATGTGCTGGCATGACATTGAAGCTGAGTAGTAAATATGCTCAGAGATTCAACATAATTCAAATTACAACTATTTCATGACTGTTTTTGGATTTCACCCCAACATTTGCAAGATAATCTGTAATTACATCATACACATGAAAAACAAACACACACATATTCAATATTTCCCCTCTCCCCAACTAGGTTCAATGTTAAAGTTTCATCAACTGAAGTCCAACTTACACAGATTCACCGTCTTGCCTGTGCTGCTAGGCTACACTACTGGCATTACATTATTTGAGGGTCCAGTGGAGTGTGGGAGAAGATAAAAACTGGATTTTTGAAAAGATATATTTGACTCTTACAACTTTTCCAGAAATTTCAAGGCCATTCCTTCAGTTGAATGGGCGAGTACAAGTACTATACAATCTATCCTTGGGCTTCCGAGAGTCTTACCACCAAAGAATGGGGTTCCTCTTTTCTTTAGTTCTGCATCATACAACGTCAAGCCAGCAATGAGATTTGCTTCATCGTCTTCTGCACCAGACCGTAAGCACTTATAAAAGGCTGGGATAACCTGAAGATTGAATGACAAGATTCAGACAATCACAACCGACATACAAGAGTAACTAATGAGGTTCAAAAAGTCTCCTGGTGTAATAAATTAAGATTTCACATTTACTGCATCGAGCCATGTATTACTTGTTCCTGAATGATAATTGAGCCAGCTATCACGCATCTACAACTATATATGCAGTGATGTAGTTGAGTCCCTTTAATCTAAGTCTGAGCAAAGCCCAAGTCTAGCTGAAGTTTGAGTCTGAATTGTCAAGTCCAATCCTAGTCTGAGTCCAAAACAGACTGAGTCAGATCCAAGTTATAAGTCCCAAACAGCCTGATTCTGAACCGAGTCCCAAGACCACCCCAAAATGGACTCAAGTCTGAGCCTGGACTGGAATTCTCCCTAACTGCAACTTTTACAGAGTGTATCAAAAATGCAACAAACCTTCTTTGTGGAGATTGTGTTAGTTTTACACCAAAATGCCTAGTATAGTAGCCCCTTATAGCCACAGATTCCCTCTTTCCAATAATATGTTAAATTTATTCACACTTAGTAATGGGGGGGGGGACAAAGTAGGTTTGGGACCAAGTTTCACTTGAAATGCAAGCATAAACCCTATTCATTTCTCCCTCTCTCTTAGAAAATGTTTGTAATAAATAGGCCAGATGTGTTCACAATGCAACCAGGTGGATCATTAAGTATCTTGATGATTGCAATGATTTCCTTTGCATAGGTTTTAGGCCTACAAAAAGCCTGTGCAGTAGTTTGCTCATAACATTACCGTCATATTGTCTGAGATGGTTCAGTTGGGTATAGAGAGAAGAGTATTGGCGGTGACATTTAAAGATAGTGCAAAAATTATTCCAAGAAAGATATCCTGATGGTCCTCCAGCCGACCATTTGATATTATGTAATGATTCACCTAACTGGACTGGTTCTGTATATCCCATGACGGAGACTGCTGCATTACTGAAGCAGAAGCAGATCGGTATTGCAATAAAGCAAAGTTATTCAGGAACAAGGCATATGTATGAGTCTGCAGAGAACTGCGCTAACAGGGCAGACCTCCCAGATTTGCACGCATGTCTGAATGACATCATATGCTTTTCATTTTCGGCATGCGCTGTTGGAATACCCAACTACCTCATTAACAGATTGAAGAAATTACTTCAGCAGGATGTTATTTAAGACAGGAGAAAAATTTATGAGATATAAAAGAGGAATATTGAGGAGACATTGAAATGAAAATACGGTAACCTTTGATCCATAAGCTGCCACGACAATTTTATCTTTAGCCTTCTGCAATGGATCTTTGGGGTAGAGAGGTGGATCAGGATAAATCTCATCTAGGTAGTCACAGATGACGGTGGATTCAATCAGAACTTCGCCATTGTGTTCGTAGACAGGCACTTTTCCATCAGGATTTCGTTCAAGGAGGAATTCTGGCTTTTTCGTCAGGTTGCAGTTAATCTCCTCAAAGCTGAAAATATGAAACTTTTCAACAAATGGAATTCTGAACAAGATCAATCGTGTGCACTTTCGAGTATAACTGTACACCTGCATTTTTAAATCCTGAATGCTGAACTCCTGAAATTCATTAGAAATGTAATCCTAATTGCAATACCACATGGGTGATTTTGCACAATAGCCGAAAGGCACTGTGACGTGGGAAGGAAAGAGGGTCAATGTTTGCTCCCTTTTCCTTCCCACAATACCTTTCTACCATTGTGCAAAATCACCCATAATGTGTTAGTGATAAGGCCTACACACTCTCTATCAAATAATTTGATTGCGAGCCATTTTTCATGGCTATTATTTCATTTGATCCAAACACAATTTTTAATTTACTGCATAAAAACACACGGAACATAGAAATGAAAAGACCCTAAAGACCATTTGGTATGTGATGTGTGATTCTTGGAAAAAAACTTATTGCATATCTAAATGTGGATCAGTATCTTACTCGATTCCTTTGATTTTAAGAACCAAGCGAGAGCGCTGTGCAAACGGGCAGTATTTCATGCTGAAGAGACGAATGGATCCATCTTTGAGGGGAGGTAGAGGTTGACCTGTAAGTAAATACATGTGATAAATAACTATAGCCGACCCATGCACTTTCCAAATTTTTAAATTTTAGAAAAACATTTTATTTCATCTAGCACCAAATAAGGTACAGACCCAACTGAAGGCCTGCATGTATTCACTCTATGTATTCTGCAAAAACAAGGTATTTTGTGAGACAAGAAACAATAAATCTAATTTCATTTGCCTAATCTCCATGGCGCAAAGTGAAAAATGTTTGCACCCCGGGGTGTCCCTCAGATATTTTACTTCCAGAACTGTAAGGTTTATACAAACCTGACAGATAGCCATGTACAAACTCTTACAGATGAAAAGCTGCACAATTTGCTTCCATTCCAATGACCAATCTTAGCCGGGCTTTCATTTGGATGGGGTCCGGAAAACAAGAGGAAGAGATAGGAGCTGTGTTGCGATTGGGTCAAGCTATCACACAGCTGATAGTTATTGAACGTACATGATGCTGATTTTCTGTAGTGTGGATGGGCAAAAAGGGTCACGAATTTCACCATTTTAATGAGGATATAAGGTGAATAAACCTCCCCATCTGGTTGTGGTTTATGGTTTATTTAAAAACATGACACCTTGCAGCTAGAAACTAAATTGCATGTCATTTACAACCAAAAGTAATTAACTCAAAAATAATATTACAATGTGAAAATGAGATAAAAGGGAGAGGTTTAATATTCACTCCATTATAAAATAGGCACGACAAAAAAATGAATAAAATCCAAGAAAATTAAACACTTCTGAGGACTCACATGGAAAAACGGAATGTTGTCTAGGGGGTTATAAGCATGCACTTAATTGGCTTTGATTTGTAAAAGAAACATTAATCGTTAAGCGTATATCCTTGTGTATACCCATTTATCATTTTTGATTGAGCAAAGTTGTTAAATCAGGCAAGGGACTACCTTTGAACTGCTGAGTCTTGCATTTAAATGTTCCAAGGATGTTTTGCTTATGCAAGGTCATTGAAGAGCCCTACTCGGGGGCCGAGTACCAGCATGAGAATTCAGAAGACCGGCTAGATTTTTTGGCCAATTTTCTGCAGATAAGCACCCTGTGATGTTCAAGAGTGTCAAGTTGCAGAGTAGCCACAGCCTTGTCATAGGATTTATAATCAGGGGAGAGCATGTAACGGTAAACTCTTTTCTGGATTTTCTCAATCTGTGACACCTGCCACCGGGTAAGGTCTCCGAGTCCATTCCATAAGGGAGCTGCATACTCAACAATAGGACGAATGTACCCCTTATAAACAGTTAATAATTCTTGAGCACTAAATCCGGCTTCTTTGAGTTTTCTCAGCATAAATAATTTTCCTGCTAGATTTGGTTATTATGGAGTCTAATTGACCATGTTCCATTTCAGATCATCTTGTATGATATTACCAAGAAGTTTTACCTTTCCAACCAGAGCCATTTTAGATCTAGCATGGGAACACGTCTCTGGCCAAAGTAGATCTGCATGGCCTGGCATTTTGAAGGGTTTAGTTTGAGTTTATTGTTCTCAGCCCAGTTGCGTAAAGACTCTAGACTATTCTGGATCCGACTTGAATGTTCTTATGACCTGGTTTCACCAAGAGTGAAATCATCCACATATTTCCAAACTCTGACACCAGTGCTTTTATCTTCTTCTTGTGCACCATTCACAGTTGCAAGAAAAATTACACGTGCTATCTGACATCTATTTAAACTTCACCAAGAAGGCATGCATATGAAATTTGATTGCACAAAATAGGCCTAACTGTGACGGAAGGGTTGGTTGGCACAATCAAAGCAGCCAAATTGTGTTTACATGGCTATCTACATATATAAATAAGGTTTGTAGAACCCAGTTTCGGAAGTAGGCCTACAGACATTTAGGCCCTAACCCCCTCGCCCCCAGCCCTAACCACACCTTTGCTTACGCCGCTGTAGAACCGTGGTAGACAGTGTTGAAGGTCTTAAGACCTGGTCTAGGTCTCGAGACCTTTTTTGAGGTCTCGGTCTCTGTCTTGGTCTCAGCCTACAAGAGTCTCGGTCTCGGGAGGGCTGGTCTCGGTCTTGGTCTCGGATGCCGAGGTCTCGGGTCCCCCACCAGAGACCTGCCGAGACCATGACAGAAATGCAGAAAATGTGCGTCAACAATTCATGCTCGGCCACGGCAAAATCCCGTACCCGGATCGTACGGTACATACAGCACACATATGTATATAGCAGTGCTGCTTGCAGCGCAAGTTTACCTCCAAATGAGTCTAGTTCCGAACTGCACGCAATTCCGCATGTATGATGTATGCTTGGAACATGTACGACATGGTATTCACGATAAAGAATGAAATCAAAGCTGGAATGTGTGCTTTACATGTAAAATTTGCACTTAATTTTGCTGATGCCAATTGTCCACCACGTTTACCATCAATGAACTACATCATGTAGGCCTATATATTGTATATGTTGTGCAAGGTCTCGGTCATTTCGGTCTCGAACTGCAAAAGTTGGTCTCGAAGTTCTGGTCTCGGTCTTGAAAGAGCTGGTCTCGGTCTCGAATGTCTTGGTCTCAGTCTCGGACATAAAGGTCTCGACTACAACACTGATGGCAGAATACGGCATGCGAAGCTGCAACTTGCAATATTACCTGCTTCAAGGTGTTTTACCGACATACTGGCTATGTTCAGCTGATCGGTGGATTCAATCACAAGTTTTGGAAGGCCTTCCACAGCCCGCAACAACTACATGTACTGGCCTGGGCCTAAGTTGTGCAGGTAGTTTTATAAATCATAGTCAAAAACATAACTTAAAGTCAATAACAAAAACGCATAGTCATTCTCTATGGGAGTGTTAAAAACGCATAGTCATTCTCTACTAGGGGAGTGTTAGAAAACGCATAGTCATTCTCTATGGTTATGGTGTACCATTTATGGATGCGCTGAACGATTGTAGGTCAACTCGCCCCTGGCCGACTCGCCCGGCTGCCCCCAGCTCGCCCCTTACCGACTTGCCCCGACCGACTCGCCCCCTAGCCAACTCGCCCCCTAAGTTAGCCAAGCACGTATGGCCGGCCCATTCACCATTTAATAAAAAACACAATCAGTCAGAGATGGAATCGGTGATTGCTGCCCTTAAAAATAGGTTCTGGGGTTTGCAGTGGGCACTCAAAGTTGAGAAATATGATAGTTAAAATGTTTAAAGCTTGGTTGATATTCCCTTTCTGTGGAATCTGGGGGTAAAAATATTTTTTGATATTGGTAAAACTAATTCAGTATTATCGTGTGTATGGGCCATGGCGCAGCGTTTCCTGTGTATTGCCTATGGGATTTTGTGCGCCGCAACACCCGCACTCTACAATATATGGCCATATTAATTAACTTTGTGGACTATTTCGGATAAAAAATGGTACATATTAGGCATAATGTCTGGTGACGCAAACCTACGGAAGTGTCAAGGAGACATGATTTATGACAAAGGGGTAAGTTATAATTATTTTAGTCAGGTATAACTAGATAGGGAAACACCAAAAGGATATTGACAAGATTGGAATGTCTTCTCAACTACATCACATCGTTTAAAAAAGCTACCGGAAGAATATACATTAAGTTACTAGTGAAGAAATTAAAAACACTCTCAAAGATATAAAATTCCAAAAAAGGAAGAAAAAATACGAATATCACGAGTTAAAATCACTCCCAAAAATAAATTTAAACATTTTGGGTCGACTCTGCCAGCGCTTGTCTGAACTGGGTACATAACAACGGAACTGGTCACTATACAACAAGATTAGCCTGCTTGTCATCTGGTGCCCATTACCAGTAAACAAATTAAAAACACTCTCAAAGATATTCAATTCCAAAGTAGGAAGAAAAATTACACAAATTAATGGTGTTTTGCAGATCAGGCGCTATTTGCGCCAGCTGTACGTTTTATTCATGAATCAATCAGTTTCCCAATTCAATTCACTAAATCCAGAAGAGGCAGGAGGAAACCGGATTACCTAGAGAAAAAGGCGATGTGACTCGAACTGATCCAAGCTTAACAATCTTTCTCAGTCCCGGAAAGACATGACTCTGCATCAGTATTTTATAAGTAGTTTATTTTAACAACCAAAAGCATGCAATTAAAAACCCCGCCTTGAACCAAGAACATAATGGTCAAACTTTCTCAGAACGTCTATACGCCGAACCATAACCCCCCTTGGGTGTTTGTAAATTCATATTAAAATTGGGGGATTGAGAAAGGTTACTATGGGTAACATTGAACATCGGCTGGCAAATCCACGGTCTTTCAAAAATAGTTGAACCTTGTTGGTCTCGTTACCCATTCTGTTGATTCACCGCCAATGCATTGATTGAGACGGTTCATCACCTTTTGCTGCTTAGCGGACCAAACAAGGGAGGCCGACTGAGGAAGCCGACTGCATCGTGTCACTCCGTTTAATCCCTCATCATGCGTTTTTTTCAACAAGCGAAGAGTGACTGGTGACTGGCACACTCGGTAAAGCCCTGTGAATTGAAAAAGCCTCGCTGAGTTGAAAAGCACGTCAAAAACACACATTAATGTGCCATCATCCTATTCCACCCTGCATCAAACCTAATTCTGCCCTTACTATTGGCGCTTATTTTGACCCCTGCAGGGAATATTGAGTGGAGTAATCTGTAGCGTGTTAAAGGGTAAAATAAAAACCATATATGAAAACACGGCTCCAAATGGGCCCCATGTTGCCATGATATGAAACAACAGGTGTAATGTTGGTTTTCGATCTCGTCTTTTTTTCCTTCTTTTTTCCCCTCTTCTTTTTTACCCCCAAATGTGGCACCCGGGGCTCATGTCCCCCCTTGCTACCCCCCCTAGATACGCCACTATTTCTATCTGCCATGATCTGCCCAGCTGCGTCCTTTCTACGGACCTCAGTCACATACCCAAATATTAATGGGACGGAGGGTTCGAAGTTGTTGATCCTGAGGGTATATTGGATGTACAAATAACCTAATCAGACAGTGGACGTAGGAAGCGTTTGAATAAATAAGTGATTGGTGGTGATGTCCAGTATCCATCACCGTCCGTGAGTCGTTCGTGTCGCGTCGTTGGTTAGAACCATTTTTTAAAAAATACATTGGGCCGGCCATATTTGCTTGACGTTCCTAGGGGGCGAGTCGGTCAGGGGCGAGTCGGTCAGGGGGCGAGTTGACCTGATACCCACTGAACNCTCCATTGAAAATAGTGTAAAATCAACCAAGTTTGGAGCCCCATGGCAGGCAACGGTAGTCCCTGAGGCCTCTTAAACAAAAAACAATGTGTTGTGTGGTCCTTCAGATTTCATTTGATTTTCAATTTTTAGTAGGTTAACCTATGAATTTTTTAATTATCCGCCCAAAACAAACTCACCCCCCAAAAAGTGAATGTTGCCAAGCCATCCCAGCGGCCATTTTTCAAATGACATCCCTCACCTTCTGCGGGCCCTTCTGACTAATTTGCAATCCCACTTTTGTCTGCTTTGCCCCCAGATGGGTGCCCCTGAATCTACAGAAATGATCCTAGGCCATACTGACCCAATACCACCATTTCTTGGCCCAAACAGACCCCTCTTTTTGAAACAATTTCTGGGGGGTACTTTTTGTGCGCCTCTGCCTGGCGAAGAATTTTCCTTGAATTGGGACACTGCACCCTTCCGACAAACATTACTCTCTCTTTTATATGGTGTACTATTTACGACAAACATTTCTCTCTCTCTTGCCTCCCTCCAGGCGACGCAACCAGACGACGCGACGGCACGACGGCTCTCTTGCGTCGTGCCGTCGGGTCGAATCGTCGGCTTTTGCCATTTCGTTTGTTCACACACGACGCGTCGTGCGTCGCCCGTTCGTGCTGCCTTAGGTCCTTTCCATGTTGCATTTTTTGCCGCCTAAACGTCGCTCCTTCCGTCGCCCGTCGCGTTGTACCGTCGTGCGTCGCGTCGTATCGTGCAGTGCATAGCGTCGCCTATTACGTCGCCTGAAGCACGACGCGACGCGCGACACGACGCACGACTCAAGCGTGCTGTCGCCCTTTGTTTATTGGTGTTTACAGAGGGCGCTTTACTGTTTCTTTCACTTCCGCCCCCGTACTTGCATAGCAGGGTACAATCCACTTATTCAAGCCCCATTGAAAACAGAGTAAAATCGGCACTGTTCAGGGCAAAATATCTTGCATACCAACATCCTTGAGATTGCTGAAACACAAATAAAATGATTGCCTGGTCCCTAATCTTTCAATTTCTTTTCAATTTATTGTGGGCTAACCAATTACATTTTTAATTATTCCCACAAAACAAAATCACCCCCGAACAGTGATTTTTCCCAAGTCTGATTGCAGCCATTTTTCAAATGGCAACTCTCAACCTTCTTGGGTACTTTTTCAGTTGTAGTTTTTAGTCATTCTGCTCTCATGGGATAGCTCAAACAACCAAGGCCGTTGATCCTGGCAATGATTTACACAATCTCACCATTTCGGGGCCAAACAATCTCCTTTTTTGAGAAAAATGCTGGGCTGCTACTTTTAATGCTTATGAGCTGAGTAGATATTCTTACTTGAATAGTGGACTGCATGCACCAAGTACATGGCATTCGTTCTTTGTACGCTGCGGCCATTGCATGCAGAGCCTTGAACTGACAGCTTTTGAAATATTCTCCAATCGTATAGCATAGATGGCAGAAGAACTGACGCAACATCATGCCCAAAATTACTTACCAACATACACGGAAAAAGCTGCCAAATCGAGGCTCTGCATGCCTATGGCGGTAGTGTACAAAGAGCGAATAGGTAGCAGGTCTTGTTTCTGTTATTGTTCTTTTTCATGGTTACTTTCTGTGTTTTTCGTTGAGAGTGAGTTGTTGAAGAAAAGGTGTTTTTTTTTAAATCAAATGTAATTAGAAAGAGCGTCACGACCAACTATCAACCTTCTCCAGGAAATAAATAATATGAGCCACAACGTCGTTTTAACTTTTCCTTCTCTAATTTTGATCTTCCTAATAATTATGTAATGGAATTGATTTTGCTACCCCACTTTTTGAAATCCAAACTCCCCCAGAATTAGGTCATACAATTTGTGTGGGTTGCTTGACAGTACGTGTGGGCAGTTAGTAGCAGAATTTGCAACCAGCCACAAGAGTCCTTTAGAAGGAGCTGATAACTTCTCTAGCCAGTGACCTTCCACTTCACTTGGCTACTGGACTGAACAGAGACTGTTCCGTAGTCTCTCTGTGATTTCTCCTTCCATCGAACCTGCCATACTTACAAATTCGTCCCTGTCCTGCTCTAGGCAAAAACACTACCAGTGTAAGCCTATTGAACCACACATGCATACATTGCTGGACAGTGGGTGGCCTGGACCAGAGCCACATGAATTCCTTTCCGAAACCTGATTTAGTCGAGGGGAAGGAACGACTGTGCACTTGAACCCTAAACATCATATAGCCCAACACATCTTCGCCATCCATTCAAGCTCTTTTTACTGCAAGCCTTTCTACTGCAATCTCTACAGCTATTGCCAGGTCAAGACAAGCCAAGCCAAGTCGTCCCCAACTTCAGCAATAGATCATCTTTAAGCTAGGCCCTTTATTTATTTTCATTGCTAATTCATAATGTTTTCTGTTAAATAGAATCCCTGTTTTATCCTCATTATTAAAAAGATGCTTTCTCTAACATGAGGATATTTGTATTTTGGTAAACCGTGCGAAAACATTTCACTGTATTAGCCGGAAACGAATTAATTTTCACTGGTTAGCTGATAATAAAAGGCGTAGACTAGTAAAAAAATAAATAATGTAAGCAGGTGTCGTGATTCTCATATTATGCCCGCTACAATATTTCTAAACCCATTCTAAGATACAATACATCAATCATTATAACGTGCTTACTGATGTAAGATGCGGAT